TATTGTTGTTAGTATATATATATATATATATATATATGTATATATATATATATATTTTATATTTATATATATGCATATGTATGCATTTAAATATATATTTATATATATATATGTATGTGTATGTATATATATACATGCTATTTATTTAATGTTTATATCTATATAAAAATACCTTTTATGCAAGTATTTAGACTAGCAGTCTGTTGACATTCATACATTTAAAAAACATGTCGATGTTGGTGTTAAAATTGTTTTGTTGCACTTTATCAGCCAATTTCATTGTACTTATCCGATCTAGAGCTGCGTCACACTATCTGATTCATTAGTTATACTTCTATATTGTTATAGCTGAAGTGATGCTTATCTACTATAGGATACTATGAATGTATGCTCGTGTGCAAGACTAGAATCGCATACTTGTGTATGTGGGCATACTCGGGCGAAGTAATCGTGCGATATTCTTCTTGGCAACTGCGAGTTTCAGACTTAAGAGTCGGTACAGCTGGTTGTCTTGTGTGCGTATCTCGATCGAATCACTTCATTTAATCACCACTATACTATACTTCCTGGCCCGATAGAGTCTTGACATAATCTTTGTTTCCTATTTGGTGGATAGACCTGTCAGTATTAACGTATTTCTTATTTCTTTTTTATTAACAGATCTGGTGGCGGAAGTGGGAAACGCCTTGGTGGACAGTTGAGAAAGAAGATGCAATTGCATGCTTGCCAATACTATGAAATCGGGTCAAAATGTAACCCAAAAGAGGGGCTAAACCAGTTTTTCAGGATTGATCACACTATAGTTGTTATGGGAGGCGATGGCACCATCGGCTGGGTGATGCAAGAGATGAACAGTTTCTCATACACGTATGTGCTGCCATATCGTACGTTCAAAATTCAGTATTGTATATATCAATTGCGATCGAATTACGTCCCAGGTGTTACCGCTACATAGATGTGCAGCCGTATCGTGGCTCATTGTGGCATGTACGAGTGTGAATTCATCTTGATTCTAAGTGTGCCAATTGCGTTTTGTATAAATGCAAACAGCGTTATGAGTTGATAAATCAAAGTGTCGTTTAGTAGACTGCTGCCCATTCCTCAAGCAGTCTGATACTATGAAATCAAGCATAAATTCTATTCTACACGTATCTGTAGATTATTACTATACACGTTATTTTATGGATTTATATGTATATA